GCCATTGGACTGACCTGTTTTGGATATGAGAAGGTACTGCTAGGAAAGTAAAATTCACAATTATTGATAGTGAGAGGCAACAGTGTGGCTTCCTTTTGAAGAAGAGGTATTTTGATTATTCATTTCTTGAATGCATTTTCAACTAACCTTAATAATTTAGTAATAAAGTTATTAGTAATTTAATTATCAAAAGTATCATTAATGTCAACCTCTACCTCTCAATATTTAGTCCTACTCACTTCATTTTTGTAAGGTGTACAGTCAGGTCAGCATTTCTTCCATGGCATCCCTGACCTTCTGCTTTCTTCTTTCCCACAACAGATTGCAGATTGAGCTCAACCAAGACGTTTAGAGACTGACCAACGCTGGCCAGACCCACAGCAGGAGAAAGGAGTTCTGGTGACCCACTGGGTTTGTGTTGACACCGCCGTCACTGATTACTGGGCATCCCCTGTTGCCTGTGTAGAAAATTCTTCCTATTGAATTGTTTTTGCACATGGAAGACAACAGGAAAGAGGTCAACACAGGCTGGTAAAATCAGAGACAGCAGGAAGATTGTTTTACTGCAGGCCCTCAGAACGTTTCCTTTTCCAGGCTTCTGGACTTTGACAGAATCCTGCCTAATCATTTTGATCTTGCTGGGTTTTTTGTTTTTGTTTTTGTTTTTTTCTTTCTTTTTACTTTCCCCAGCACATTGTATTTTATTTCTGTACTTCAGAGATGGGCCTACAGACCACAAAGTGGCCCAACCATGGGGCTTTTGTTCTGAAATCTTGGCTTATCATTTCCCTGGGGCTCTACACACAGGTGTCCAAACTCCTGGCTTGCCCTAGTGTGTGTCGCTGCGACAGGAACTTTGTCTACTGTAATGAGCGAAGCTTGACCTCAGTGCCTCTTGGGATCCCGGAGGGCGTAACCGTACTCTACCTCCACAATAACCAAATTAATAATGCTGGCTTTCCTGCAGAGCTGCACAGCGTGCAGTCAGTGCACACCGTCTACCTGTATGGCAACCAACTGGATGAATTCCCCATGAACCTTCCCAAGAATGTCAGAGTTCTCCACCTGCAGGAAAACAATATTCAGACCATCTCACGGGCTGCCCTTGCTCAGCTCTTGAAGCTCGAAGAGCTACACCTGGATGACAACTCCATCTCCACCGTGGGGGTGGAAGACGGGGCCTTCCGGGAGGCCATTAGCCTCAAATTGTTATTTTTGTCCAAGAATCACCTGAGCAGTGTGCCTGTTGGACTTCCTGTGGACCTGCAAGAACTGAGAGTGGATGAAAACCGAATCGCAGTCATATCAGACATGGCCTTTCAGAACCTCACGAGCTTGGAGCGACTGATTGTGGACGGGAATCTCCTGACCAACAAGGGCATCGCTGAGGGCACCTTCAGCCACCTGACCAGGCTCAAGGAATTTTCCATCGTACGGAATTCACTCTCTCACCCCCCTCCTGATCTCCCAGGTACACATCTGATCAGGCTCTATTTGCAGGACAACCAGATCAACCACATCCCTTTGACGGCCTTTTCGAATCTCCGTAAGCTGGAACGGCTGGATATATCCAACAACCAACTGCGAATGTTGACTCAAGGGGTCTTTGATAATCTCTCCAACCTGAAGCAGCTCACTGCTCGGAATAACCCTTGGTTTTGTGACTGCAGTATTAAATGGGTCACCGAATGGCTCAAGTATATCCCTTCATCTCTCAATGTGCGGGGTTTCATGTGCCAAGGTCCTGAACAAGTCCGGGGGATGGCTGTCCGGGAGTTGAATATGAATCTCTTGTCATGTCCCACCACAACCCCTGGTCTGCCTGTCTTCACCCCGGCCCCCAGTACAGCTTCTCCAACGACTCAGCCTCCCACTCTTTCAGTTTCAATTCCCAGCAGAAGCTACACCCCTCCCACTCCTATCACATCGAGACTTCCCACAATTCCCAACTGGGATGGCAGAGAAAGAGTGACCCCACCTATTTCAGAACGGATCCAACTCTCTATCCACTTTGTGAATGATACTTCCATTCAAGTCAGCTGGCTCTCTCTCTTCACTGTGATGGCATACAAACTCACCTGGGTGAAGATGGGCCACAGTTTAGTGGGGGGCATCGTGCAAGAACGCATAGTCAGTGGCGAGAAGCAGCATCTGAGCCTGGTTAATTTGGAGCCCAGATCCACCTACCGGATTTGTTTAGTGCCGCTGGATGCTTTCAATTACCGGGCTGTCGAAGACACCATTTGTTCAGAGGCCACCACCCATGCCTCCTATTTGAACAATGGCAGCAACACGGCGTCCAGCCACGAGCAGACGACTTCTCACAGCATGGGCTCCCCTTTTCTGCTGGCAGGTTTGATTGGGGGCGCAGTGATCTTTGTGCTTGTCGTCTTGCTCAGCGTCTTTTGCTGGCACATGCACAAAAAGGGGCGCTACACCTCCCAGAAGTGGAAATACAACCGGGGCCGGCGGAAAGATGACTACTGCGAGGCAGGCACCAAGAAGGACAACTCCATCCTGGAGATGACGGAAACCAGTTTTCAGATCGTCTCCTTAAATAACGATCAGCTCCTTAAAGGAGATTTCAGACTGCAGCCCATCTACACCCCAAATGGGGGCATTAATTACACAGACTGCCATATCCCCAACAACATGCGATACTGCAACAGCAGCGTGCCAGACCTAGAGCACTGCCATACGTGACAGCCCGAGGCTCAGCAACATACAGGCGGACAGCAGAACTCTTGAGAACACACACGTGTGTGCACGTAAAGACACGCGAATTACATTTGATAAATGTTACACAGATGCATTTGTGCATTTGAATACTCTGTAATTTATACGGTGTACTATATAATGGGATTTAAAAAAGTGCTATCTTTTCTATTTCAAGTTAATTACCAACAGTTTTGTAACTTTGCTTTTTAAATCTTAAAAAAAAAAAAATAGTTGCTGAAGTACTGTACAGGGTCGTACAACGAGAACCCATCGCCGAGGCAAAAGAATGAGTGATTCTTCCTTACAATGCTCATTAACCACTTTGCTGTGGAAGCTGTCAGAATAAATTTCTTTCCTAGAGCGGGTGGTTAGATGAATGCACAGGCTAGAATGGACTCATAAGGGTAAGATAAATAATATGGGTAAAATAAAAAAAATAGCCCAGATGTTTCTGTGCTATTTCTTACCTCCTGGTCTGGAAGAAAAGTAGAAAAATTCCACAAGATAAGAATGGAGGTAGTTACCCAGATTTTATTCAGTACAGGAAATGCAGAAAGTATCACGAAGAAGCCAGTTCACATAAAATAAGTTAACCCAGCCTAAAAGAATCAAGGAAATCGAGTTGAGATTTGAAAAGCCCTTGAAAGCCAGGGGTTGGCTCTCTGACTGGGAAGTTTAAAATCACCCTTTATGCTTTCCCGGCCCTGTGTGGTAACACAGTTAGACTTGAGTCTGAATTCAGTCATCTTCAAGGACTGCTATGATGTTCTAGCAAGAAAAATCCCTTTAAAAAATGTTACTATTCAAATCATATGTCCGGTTGGATCATATTCAACAGAGATATATTCTAGAATACTTTTTTTAGAAGAGGCTAATAAAATAGCGTGAAGAGTTATATTGAATGGAATTATTTTTGATAATGAGAATTATTTGGGTAGATTCACTGAGGCTATGTCAACATGATATTTAGACCAACAAGGGATCAATGTTTGGAGTTTACTAAAGCAGTTTGTTTAACAATTACTGATACTATTTAGACAAAAACAACTGATCCGTGATTCTGTTAGACTATCTCCACCACGTGTGTTAGTATCATGTTGAAATAGCTTGAAGTTAATACCTTTACCCCCTCTCAAATTCTTGTCTTCCAATCATCTCACATATATTTTTGTAATTAGTTGTTTATGCCATCTTTGTTTTTGCCCCCTCTGCTCAGTATTTCAAAGAAAATTGTGGATACCAGCCTTGGTTGCATAAAGTATCTGTATGTACTTACACATTTTAAAATGTGTACCAATTTTCACTGCTAATAGTAAAGACACATCAAAACTGGCCAAAGGAATGCATTTTTTTAAAGCCGTACCAGGTTTTCATGTTGAATTGACTTGGATTCTGTTCCACTGTTGACGTTTTATTTGCTCCTTTTCAATCGTGGATATTCCTCTACTTTGGAATTGTTGAAGCATAATCTGTTTTAGAAGGGCAAGCTAACAAATGAAAGATGAACAAGTCAGCAGTGGCTCACTCATTCCCCTAGTCTTGACAGAGCAGGGCATACAGAAGAGGATATGGAAAGGAGAGTGATGTCTGTGTGCAATTCTAGTGATTCTTGAAGGAAATGTTCATCTTCAGAAAACACATCCAATTTACTATAATCTCACCATCCCTTAGATGTAGAAGGGCTATAACTCACATACATTATCTAACATGGACACCCTTGGAAAATTCTTTTTTAAATTAAATTTAGGCATTCCACTCTGTGCTACATATGTCCTTGACGACTTGCCATTATTTTAGGGACCCATGAAGTAAATGTCATGATCATGTTACATTTCTCTCTTTTTAAGCAAAATAAAACTGTGATGTGTCTTCTTTGTAAGCGTTTAGCTATAAAATGCTATGCAAGCTTTTCTTTATAGTCAGAGCCTTATTTTCTTTAATAATATACCCCAACTTATATATTTTAATCTCCCGCATTCCTCAGAATAAGCAGAAAACATAACTGAACCTATAAGATTGTAATCACAGAGCTGAAACTGTGCAGTCTGTATAGCTGAATGTAGCTGCAAATTAACTTAAATTAATTCTAAAGTGACTCTGGTTTCCATTTTAGTCTATTAGCTAGAGGGTTTTAGCTGTTGTTTTGTTAAAGCTTGGTCTACCTTTTGAGGGGATAAGACAGTCTGAAGGTGGTCAGTGTAGCAGAAAGTCATTTAATATCAGGATAAGGACATGGGTTTGTGTGTACATAGGTGGGTAGTTCCCTTTCACTGTCCTCTTCCCCTTGGCTGTGTAGATAAAACTGTGTGTTCAAATGATGGTACTTTAACTTTCTGTTTCTGTTGTCCAAAAAATAATCATTCTCATTGTTTTGTATTTTATGTTTAACCCCCGGTGGGATTTTTGGCTGCTGAAACCTCTTTGCTTTGGGCCAGGAAGGATAAGGATGGAGAGGCTCCTACAGTGTTTCCTGTGACTCACAGAATTATTTGGGGGCATAAATGGTACAACAGAGATACGGACATGTCAAGTGGTTAGGGTGGTCTCAAAGGGTTTCCCTGCTCAGAGAAAGAGTCTAGTTACGGGCTTTATTTTGACTTTGTGAGCAGCATGATAAAACCTCTGAAGTTAAAATCAATCTCCCATATGTAATAGCATACCTGGGGCTGTTAGCACGTCTATCAGGATACCAGAATATACGATGGCTAATGTGTCTTAGGAAAACTGCTGAATGACCATCCTGGTGGCTGATGCTTCACTGGCATGCTTAGTCATAGAGATGTGTTTTGTTGAAACATCTGCTCTGTATTTGGACCTCTCTTATTGTCCTTGTTGAGATGATTAGTTAAGAGTCAAGGTTGAACGTGCGGCCCAAGACCGTTAGAACAAAAACCATGCTCACTGGTTTATAAAGAACTTGATGACCAAGTGAGGTGGTATCAGATGGTATCCGACCTTTTTTCAGAGCTTTGTATCTGTCACTGTACAAAGGACATTTCCAAAAGGCATAACCATGATCACACAGATACTATTGACAGCTGTTCCTATGCAGAATAATCATCAATACCTACTTGTTTTGAGGAGATGTGTTTGATCTTAGAGAGACTCTAGGTTCCCTCAAACACTTCCCATTGCATTGGGACAGTGCCAGCCATCACATGGGACCATCATGGGCAGAGACAAGGAGTGTGTCCTATGGACTCTTTTCCTTGTGTAGCAAGTAGAAAACATTCTCTCCCATGAGAAATAACACCACTTCTAATTATCTGGATGTGTGTTGAAAATGTATTAGGCATTTTCCCTGAGGTTAAAAACAAAAAGTGTAATGTGACCAGTCTGGTAAAAAGTATTAATGAAGTACTTAAAATTACGGCTCCATTTCCTACTATTGCGGATCATAATGGTCTTAGTCATTTCACGCGAGTCAGGATTTCCTTCCTCACTGGGGACGACAAGCTCTTCATGTTGTGAGCCAAGCCTCCATTCAAAACACAAGGCAGTAGTGTAGTCTCCAGGGAGCAGGTGCTGCCCTTGATCGGCAGACCTCAGCTGCAGGGTCCATTGCAGCTCCTGAACAGTGAAGTGGTTAATGTCCATTGATGTCTTTGTTTATAGCATTTTTCCTCCTATAATTAGAAGACATTAGGTTTTTCTTTAGAACATGAGAAAAATGGTTTTGCTCATGACCTGCCTTTCCAGCAGCATGGGAAAGCAAAGCAACAGAGTGCCCCGAAAGGAAAATAGGTATATACACAAAACAAAACCCCTGGAATATTTCTTGGTCTTGTCAAACCAGGGATGATGCTTTTTAGAAAGTCAAAATATGGATGGTAGGAAACTAGCTTACATCTTTCTCTGATGTTTTCAGTAGGGTTGAAAGACAATTACTAGCAACAGGGGATGCTCATCATGGATGGTGGGGAGGAAGGTTTGTACACATATGCAACTGTTGTTATAACAGCTCTGATTCTTTTGCTCTGGTTTTTGCTTTTCCTTTTGTAGCTGCACACCCCACAGAAGAGCACAAAGCAAGGCGATTGCCATAGGCATCTTAAATTACTCTAAACCGTGCACATGTGCATACACACTCACACACGGGGGCATTTGTAAATGTGTCCATGGGATGTAAGATTTATAACCATTCTGAGGCAGGGTGAAGGCATTGCCACCACGTGTTCCTCAGGACTAGTATATATTTGCAGAAAGTTAATCCTAATGATTTGTTATTGTTTGAATCATATGTTGCTTTGCTTCTGGTTTGTGTTTAGTGTATTCTCTCTGACAAGGGACTGCAAGGGGCTGGAAGATTCGGCATCACACATCCTCTGAGACCTACCATGTTGCACACTTTGTTAACTACCAACTTCACTCTACACTATACAGTACCTTGTTGATATATTCAGTAAAGGCTTATTTTAAAAGAAAACCACATTGTGTTTATCTGAGTAAGTTCATTGGGATATAGCAATCCTTTTGTGTGAATTCAAAAGGCACATGCCACATGATGGTACAGGGTAGCAGGAAT